GTTCAATCAAGTAATAAGGGTGAAAATCGAGACTAGTGGTGGTTGTGTTTGGTCTATCACTCAAACGAAAGGGAATGGGTCTTCGATTCCCATCTGATCAGAGATGAAAAGGGACCAAAAGCAACATCAGCCTTCTTTCTATCTTCTTTTCCTGATTCGCTATGAAGCACGAAGGAGGAGTCGATTTTTACGGCGATTCAAGCCTTCAATCGGGGTTGTGGGGGTTGAGAAAGGTAGCAACAACCGGAGAGGGTGCTTGTGGTGGTGTTTCTCGGCAACAGCCGACGATTGAAGCCTTCAATGAGAGTGGGTGTTTTGGGTGATAGATCATCAGGAAGAGATAGAGAGAGAGAGAGAGAGAGAGAGAGATAGAGAGAGAGACCTTTATTATTTTTTTAATTGTTAAAATAAATAAATAAATATTAAATTTTTTAAAAAATGAAAAATAAATACCCCAAAGGTATTATAGTCATTTCAATTTTCGGAGGAACTATTTTCACATACAAACCATGTCAAAAGGACCATGAATCCAAAAAACTCCAGGTTTGAACTAAAACCCCAAAATTTTGCATACCACAAGGACCATTTTTGCAATTTTGTCTATATATATATATATATATATATATATATATATATATATATATATATATATATATATATATATATGGTAAAGATTGGTTGAAAACTCATAGTTTACCGAGAATCTAAGAACTAAATGTAAAGAGATAGATCAAAATCAAATCATTAATAGCATGATCATCATCATACCAATCCCACTTAATTTTTTGTATTATTGGAAATATTAATAAAAAGCTCTCAAATTAACATTATAAAAAAAATTTAGATTTTTTTATCAAAAAAAATTCATTTTTTTTTTCTTAACTGTGGATTTTTTTTACTTTTTTGGAAAGCATAACATCTTAAAAATTTTGATTTTTTTTAAAACTGCAAATTTTTTGAAAAAAAAAAATTGTATTTTAAAAAATTGTAAATTTTTTAATAAAACAATAATTTAAAAACACTGTAATGTTTTCAAAAAAAGAAAGCTGTATTTTTTTAAAAAAATCAGTACATTTAAAAAAAACTTGAATATTAAAAAAAAAAAAAAAAAAAAAAAAAAAACTCTAATTTTTTTAACAAAAAAATCAACGTTTTAGGTGCACATACGCATATTTGTTCAAATTGATATATGCATATTTCTTATACTATAATATTTGTAAGTAAATTATAAAAAATCTCATTTTATTAATCAATCTATAAACATAATACTACAAGTATTATATTCGATACAAATTAAAATATATAAAAAAAAACTACAATGATTCACAGTGCTATCATTTTTCATATCAAGATTTCCCTATTTTTTTTCTTTAATTTATCACTTTCACCCCTTCAATATTTTCCAAAAATTTTTAAAAATCTACAAGAAAAAAAAATGATTAATGCAAGAACATTCACAAAAATACACATGTATATATCATGTAAGATTCACATGTAATGTAATTGATATGTGATTCACTTGTGAATCATATGTAATTGATATGTGATTCACTTGTAATTTACATGTAATTCATATGTGAATGATATGTTGTTTACATGTGAATCACATGTAATTCATATGTGATTCACTTGTAATTTATATGTAATTGGTATGTGATTTACTTGTGATTTACATGTGAATCACAAGTGAATAATATGTGAATTACATGTGAATCACATGTAATTTATATATGAATTACATGTTATTTATATGTAAATCACATGTAATTCTTAAGTGATTTTCTTGTAATTTACATGTGAATTACATGTGATTCATAGGTGAATTACCTGTGATTCATAGGTGAATTACATGTGATTTACATGTGAATCACATGTAATTCATATGTGAATTACAAGTTATTTACATGTGAATCACATGTAATTCGTAGGTGATTTACTTGTGAATTACATGTGATTCATATGTGAATTACATGTTATTTACATGTGAATCACATGTAATTCATATGTGATTCACTTGTGATTTACATGTGAATCACATGTAATTCAAATGCTAAAAAGTCGTTTCCTTTCATTCGTGTTCAGATGAAGCATATAAGTGCAGATATGCATATATTCACAAGTACAAATGTCACCAAAACATATATGCATACTTAGAGACATAAAAGATATCATATAGTATCATATTAATTAATGTATATAACAAGTAGTAGATTATAAGAAACACTAACCCACCTTTCTGGTGCAGTTGAAAACAGCTCATCAAGTTCAGAATCGTGTAAATCTCCATCCTAGAAATTGCAAATATTGATAATTTGAGATGATTTGCACAACTTGGTTACTGAGTTTTTTTTATTAATTTTGCAAAAAGAAATTAGATGAGTAAAATGAGATTATGTTTGGCATGTAAGCAACTAAAATAAAATACTAAAAGGAAAGGAATAGATGGTGACAAATTCAAACTCAAGACCCAATATTTGACTCCAAAACTACACTTTAGATAATACTCATGACATTAACTAAAGCAACTTTCAAGTAAAACTTCACAATGTAGATGTAGTTCACAATCAAGTGATACAAAATTATGATGTCATATAATGTGAGAGAAAACAATACCTTGTTAGAATCAAACAATCTGAAATTCCCTTTCAAGAAGTCAACAGCTTCACTCATCAACTCAACGCTCTACAATAACACAAGAATTGAGAGATATTTGCTACTATTCAGTGCAAATGTCACAAGTTCAATGTAATTTGCGGAAGTGAAACTAAATATAAGAGAATTTTACCAACTCTCGGATCCCCAGCCAACAAATAGCTTGAATAAATAATCAAGTTCTACACGTGATGATAGATCCATTAATAAACTAGAATCAATTTCGAACTCTAGAAAACAATCGATGCCATAATGGAGACGATAATTGTGATTTAAAGCTTAGGAATCGAGCAAAAAATAGAAAAATCTATTAATCAAAAAGAAAATTATCATCTCAATGATACACATATGAATCAATTTCATACCTGACTAAAATTGAAAAGTATAAACAAATACTGTCAAATGATACCTGGTGATTGTATATAAATGAATCGATGAAGCCACTTTGATTGATGAATTAACACTTCTATTCCAGATCTACGACAATAGGTAACGAAGGAGAGACATTACGATGTTTTAGGTCGTATCGACGAGAATAGGATAGTGGTGGTTCAAGAGTGTGGAGGAGCAAAGGCGGAGGAAGTACACTCACACGATTAAAGATGACGATGAGATGAGGTGGAGATGTGATTCAATCGGCAGAGATGAGGCGGAGAGGTGACACGATGTTGACATGGCCAGACCTCCGGGAGACGACACCATCATCGGGAAGTGATGCGACGACATGAAGGAACGACAAAGAGAGAGACGGTGAGTTATCATCGACGATTTACAGGTGCGACATTAGTTTTAGAGAGAAAGACAGAGAGAGAGAGAGAGTGTGTGTGTGTGTGAGAGAGAGAATGAGATTCGACGTTATTGTTTGCTTTAACGATGAATTTTATTTCATATGCAAATTTCACCCCTGACTTAAAAAAAGTTAGATGCCCTCGTGTCTATTTTTTTCTCAGATATTTACAAAATTGTTATAAGAAATCTAAACCCTCTATTTTTTTTAATTTAATGATCTAACTTAAGTTCTCAGGTTCTCGGGAAACTATAAGTTCTCAAATGATCATCTCTCTCTCTCTCTCTCTCTCTCTATATATATATATATATATATATATATATATATATATATATATATATATATATATATATATATATATATATATAATGTGAGATAGAAACAAGATCGACCTAACCCTCATGTAGCTTGGATAGCACATGATGTAACAACAGAAATCTTTACAAATATATTGAATCAAATGATGATGACTCAAATAATTGTTACACATACTTATATAATTGAATCAAATGATGGTGACTCAAATAATTGTAAAACAATTCACAGGGACAAATCATCACTATGTGGACCTCATTGTACCCGTCGAGAGGTCTGTAACCGCTCTCTTTTACCTTTTATTGTTTTTACACTTTTACAATCCCTTTCAGTCATAGTCCAACTACGAGCAAAGTCATCATTCAACATACGTACTAAACTGAAAATATATGTTCGAAAATACAGCAGAATAAGGTTTTGTTTTAACAAAAGACTATCAATCATTAAAACATCATGTGGAATATTCTCACACTCTCTTGACACTGATTAACAACCATTGTTTTTCTACTCCAAGACCCCACTTTTCTCTCGAAAATTCTCCCTTATTCATGCAGGACTCAGTTTTCTTCAACTCTGGCTTTTAGGTATTCAATGATATGGTAAATTCATCCCCCAAAACTAATAGGGGTGATGATTTTCAAGAAAATTTTAGTGAATTGTGAAGAGTTTGGTGAGTAGTGAAGGGTTTTTGGTGGGTAGTGAAAGGTTGGTGGATAGAACTGTAGTACCCTTTTCCTAACTTGACTGATATTGCATATATAAAGAAAGTGTATAACTACTACCAAAATACGCTGTAGTATTCCATCCAAAGTTCTTGGACTATCTCTCTCTGATTTCAGGTATTTTCTGTTTCTTTTAATTTATTTTTTTATATCAAGATACAGAGAAAGCAAACCCTTTTCTTGTTTTGCTTAAAAGTTGATACTTTCTCTTGTTGGAACTCAAACCTTTTTACTTTCTTGTAATCTTTCTTTACATCAAAAGGGTTATGAATTAGCTTTTAAGGATTGAATCCTGTGATTACGAATTATATATGGATCTGCTTTCCTTTTCAGTCGAATGATTTGGGCATTTTTTAAGTGTCATATAACGAAGAGTGGGTTGAACTTAAGTTGGGTATAATGTGTATGACTACCCCCAGAAATCAAGAAAGCTTTCTTTCACTAAAATCCCAATTTTTACCTATGATTTTTTCTGATTTTGTTTCCAGGTTTTCGAATTACATTTGTTTGAGCTGTTTGACAAGATGAATGGGGCTGCATTTGTTGCTATCATTGCCACAATTGGCAATCTTTTACAGGGTTGGGATAATGCTACAATTGCAGGTATTCAATCTGTTTCTCTTGTTTTAGAATCCAAATGAATTTCACTTGTCTTATCAAACTTATTGAGGGATCAAAAGCATGGAATCCAAGATTTAGAATTTCTGTAACATTATTTCCTAATGAATATAGGAGCTGTAGTTTACATAAAGAAGGAGCTAACTCTGGGAAGTACCATAGAAGGTCTTGTTGTTGCCATGTCACTAATCGGGGCGACCCTTATCACAACCTGCTCCGGACCCGTATCCGATTTGTTTGGTCGAAGGCCCATGCTAATACTCTCATCTTTCTTTTACTTCATCAGTGGCTTAATAATGCTTTGGTCACCAAACGTCTATGTTCTTCTTCTAGCTAGGCTTATAGATGGATTTGGAGTTGGTTTAGCTGTCACTTTAACCCCCATTTATATTTCCGAAACCGCCCCTTCAGAAATAAGGGGATTGTTAAATACACTCCCTCAGTTCACGGGTTCGGGTGGAATGTTCTTTGCATATTGTATGGTGTTTGGGTTGTCTTTAATGGCTTCAACAAGCTGGCGATTAATGTTGGGTGTGCTTTCTATTCCTTCTCTTTTGTATTTTGTTTTGGCGATTTTATATTTGCCTGAATCTCCTCGGTGGCTTGTGAGCAAAGGAAAAATGGGGGAGGCCAAAAAGGTCTTGCAAAGATTACGTGGCCTTGAAGATGTTTCAGGTGGTTTTTTGTCTTGAAAATCTCTAGAAACCTAGGCAGGGGTTGTTTGGATGTGCATTTAAGTGATAATTGTCTAAATAACTGTAAGGCAAAACTTTATTCGATACACATTAAGAGGTTTAAAGCTTTATTTGATATATGTTACAAAGTTTAAGGCTTTATTTGATATATACCACAAAGATCAAAGATTTATTAATATACTTCAAAGTTTAATATGACATACGTAAAAAGTCCAAAGCTTTATTATATCACAAAGATTGAAGCTTTATTTGATATAAATCGAAGATTTCAAAGCTTTTTTGGATATACATCACAAAGATCTAAGGATATACCTCACAAGGGTCAAAGCTATATTAGATATATATACATAAAAAGATTGAACTTTTATCTAACATACATCAGAAGTTCAAAGCTTTATTCTATACATATCACTAGAGCAAAGCTTTATGAATCAATATACATCAAAAAGTTCAAAGCTTTTCTTAATCTCCATCACAATAATCAGTTTAGAAGCGCACGTCCAAACATCCCCTTGGATCACATAGTGCAAGCCGCTAAATACCCAAATTTCCCTTTTTCTTTTTCTCTTTCCACATTCTTGGGTAAGTTTCAAAATATAGTAAGTAGCTTGTGACACAATTTGCATTACAGGCGAAATGGCGTTGCTGGTGGAAGGTTTAGCGGTTGGAGGTGACACATCAATAGAAGAATACATGATTGGTCTGGACAATGAAGATACCCAAGATCAAGATCCAATGGCTCATAAGGATTCAATCAAGTTATATGGATCCCAAGCGGGTCTCTCGTGGATAGCAAAACCAGTCACCGGTCAGAGCACACTCGGTCTGGTTTCTCGGGCAGGAAGTATGGTGAACTCGAGTATTCCATTAATGGATCCTCTTGTCACCCTCTTTGGTAGTGTTCATGAAAAGCAACCCGAATCAGGAAGTATGAGAAGCATGCTGTTTCCAAATTTTGGTAGCATGTTCAGCACCACCGCAGGGCCTCAGGTGAAAGACACCGATCAGTGGGATGAAGCGAGTTCACAGAATGAAGGTGAAGGGTACCAAACGGACGGTGGAGATGACTCCGATGACAATCTTCATAGTCCGTTAATTTCCCGGCAAACAACCAGCATGGTGGGTCCACATGGCGGTAGTAACACCGGAGAGACAACTTCCGGCATGGGGATTGGCGGTGGGTGGCAGTTGGCGTGGAAGTGGTCGGAAAGAGAAGGTGAAGATGGAACAAAAGAAGGTGGGTTTAAGAGAATATATTTGCATCAAGAAGCGGTAGCTCGTGGTGGGTCCCGCCGTGGGTCGCTTGTTTCGCTTCCCGGAAGCGGCGGTAATGTTGCGGTTGAAGGAGAGTATGTGCAAGCTTCGGCTCTAGTCAGCCAGCCTGCTCTTTATTCAAAGGAGCTCATGACTCAACCCCCAGTGGGACCCGCAATGATTCACCCATCAGAAAATGCTTCGAATACGCCATTGTGGTCTGCGCTTGTTGACCCGGGGGTTTCACGGGCTTTATTTGTCGGGGTTGCGATCCAAATGCTTCAACAGGTAAGGGATTGACTACTTTTTATTTAACTACAACTATATATCCTTGTTTCTTTTTTGACTTAATTCGGACACAATGACTTAATGAGTTAAGCCAAAAAACTTGGCTTAATGTATTAATTAGAATCTAACCATTTACCTATTTGCATTTCTTTTTTCCCCCCAACGTCCCTTTCACGATAAAGTTGATGAATATTGCAAAATTTGTTGTTTGGAATGTAAAGGTTAAATGGTCATTTAATCTCATTTACATACTTTGTTCCTTCCAGAAAAGAAAAAGAAACAAACCTGATATATACAACCTGTTAACTAAACAAACATCATTACCCAAGAAGCAAATGAAATAATCCCTATGGTCTTTATAATGAAAGTTTGATTTTTACAATATTGGATAAACTAACAAACATTTTCGGTTTTCTTAACGCAGTTTTCAGGAATAAATGGGGTTATGTACTACACGCCTCAAATCCTCGAGCAAGCGGGAGTCAGTGTTCTCTTATCAAGCCTCGGGCTCGGTTCCGATTCTGCTTCTTTTCTTATTAGCGCATTCACAACTCTTCTAATGCTTCCATGTATTGCAATAGCCATGAGGTTCATGGATATTGCTGGGAGAAGGTACATTCGGGTTTAACTCACTGTGAAAAGACAAAAATGCCCTTCAACACATTAACAAACTGTCTTTTTTTTAGGACTCTCTTGTTGACCACCATTCCCATACTGATAGCATCTCTCATTATCCTTGTCCTCGGGAACACCATCAAGATGGGATCGGTAATCCATGCGGTTATTTCAACTGTATGTGTTGTTGTCTACTTTTGCTGCTTTGTGATGGCATATGGGCCAGTCCCTAACATTTTGTGCTCGGAGATTTTCCCGACACGAGTTCGTGGAATCTGCATTGCTATATGTGCGCTAGTCTTCTGGATATGTGATATTATTGTGACATATTCATTACCAGTGATGCTCTCTTCAATCGGGTTGGCGGGCATTTTTGGAATTTACGCCATCGTGTGTGTCATTTCATGGGTGTTTGTGTTTTTAAAGGTTCCGGAAACAAAAGGGATGCCATTAGAAGTGATCACCGAGTTTTTTGCCGTTGGAGCAAGGCAGGCTGCTGCAGCCAAGAGTGAGTGAAAAAAGAAATGCAATCTTTGTGTTGATTAGGGTTTTTGGTTGCACTATTTCTTGATTGTAGGGGATGTATATTGTATTCAAGTTCAATAGAGTTCGAGGCTCGATTCATTAGAAAATATGTAGATTCAGCTTGGTTTGGCTCGGCTCAACTCGTATCTTGCTAATCCTGAAATGATTAGGATCAGGATCGACTTGCATAATGATCAAGTTTGAACTCATGAGCTCATGTAGATTCGATTACTATGGACTTGTCGATTGGCTCGGTTTGTATGGGATGCGAAGTTTTATGAACTAAATAATTGTGAAGAATGTTATATTTAAGGAATATGCTCTATCTCGATAAGAACTTTGTTTGAAACAAGTGGTACATACAAATGTATTGTTTTCTTAAGACACTTGGTTAGAGATTTCTTTTTGGAGGACACAGTCATATAAAATCATGGCAGTATTGTGGGAAAATGTGAGAGCTTGCTATTACCTACGGATAAGTCTGTATGATTAAATTACTTTAAAACAAACAAGCTTATATGACAATTGGTGTCCGTATGAAATATATTTTCTCCTCAGGAGATGTTATGATTCACAACTTTAACTAATCACTTGCTACCGCTAGCCTTGAAGTTAGGCGAGAAGATTGAAGCCCAACTTATTTAAATATTTATTTGAATTTTAGCTGATACACCATGTGTTTAGATGTCCGCTAACTGCTCCCGTGAATAAATGTCCACCAAATCCACGTTAGGCTTCCGTTTGATAAAATGTAGGTTAATCTCAATGTGTTTAGTTTGATCATGTTGGACTAGCTAATTAGCTATTACCCGAGTTTCTTGTACAACAACGAAGGTATAAATTTTGTACCAAGGTCGAATGATCATACCCTTGTTGGTGTGTATGTTAAAAAATAATTATATGGTTATGCTTCAAAGGTACCATATTATTCGTATTTACATACTACTCTGATTTTACTTTTGTTTTATTACAACTCAATTATGCTTGTCATAGCAATATGAACATGAGAATATTGGTTTGAATAATTCTTAATCTCTTCTCATTAATGTGTGCAACACATACATACAAAAGATGTACAAACATGGGCCACATGGGTCGGAGAATAATACAACATGACTAATAAGCTATCGCAGTTTGAGTGGGAGTCTAGTGAACACTTAAAGTGGAACAAAATTCGATGAACAGAGGAAACAACAACCCTTTCGTGAAAATATCAACATTGGTACCAAAAAGGGACAAAATGAATGTCAAGCTCAATGTGTTTGGTTCGTTAGTGCTAAACCTGGTTAGCTGTTATGTATATATAAAACTTACATTTTTGCATTAAATAAGGGTGGCAGTGTGTAAGGGGCATGCAACTCTCAAAGAAGGTTACACAACTAATTTATTTCAGCGACAACATTGAAGACGCCCGGATACTCGGGAGACAGTGTATTGTCGTTTGGACGACCACGATAATAGGTTGTCACCAACGAAGACCCCAACAATCGAAGGCAAATCGACAAGTGGCCTAACACTCCTGATCCACATTCGAATAAGTTGTGAGAGTTATAGTGAGGGAGGCATAAAGTCGAATTATGTGATCGATAATGTCGTTGATGTAGCACATAATGCCCTTGAGGGCATGAAAGTGTGGTTCTCAAGGGTCATACGTGTAGACACAAATCTAGTAGACCGCGAATGAGATGTCACAACGAGTGAATTCGAGCAAGTTGTGTTACGAAGTGAAGTTCAAGAGAAAAAAAAAAAAGAAACAAGATACCCCGATACATGGGTTGATTGTACCACGAAACATTTGGAGAAGCTAGCATTGCAACCGTATCGATCCTTTGAAGAGTTGTGTAAGTTAACTTCTAAAATCAAGAAGCATGCTAAAAATAAGATAAAATTGTAAGTTTGGTCCCTATGGTATGTCAAATATTGGATGTTTGGTCCAAAATGTTTTAGAGTTGCACGCCTGGTCCAAAAAGTGAATTCTATTGTAGGTTTGGTCCAAATGTTTTTGAAAAAACTTAAAATGATTGATTTACCTTTCATATTTTGCTTTCCTATTTTTATTTTATTGCATAAATTAAAGAAAAGACAAAAAGAAAATACCACCCTCTCTCTCTCTCTCTTTCTCTCTCTCTCTCTCTCTCTCTATATATATATATATATATATATATATATATATATATATATATATATATATATATATATATATATATATATATATATATATCGTTCAAAATTCAAAAACACATACATACATCAAATAGAATTGATTTCAACGCATAAAAAAACCACTTTCAGGAGCGCACCACCACCATTAATCTCACTTTTTTCACACCAAACATATCAAAATCCAACAGAGATGTGTGATGAATGATTCGAGACTTCAAGAGATGGGCTTTATCTTTTTTGTCAAAGGATGGATCTGATAAGTAAGCATTTATCAGAAAAAACACCACCATCATCGAAATCCCTTATGTTCTTGTTGGAAACCTCTTTGATGATGTCATCAGTTGCTCGATTTCACCCCTGAAGGATAATCTACGCGTCTCATCTCTATAGAGGTAAAAAAAACACCATAAATGTCCATTTGGAACGAGATCTAGGTTTTTTAGGGTATTTCTCTAGAGAAAATTACTTAGATGGTTCTTTTCATTGATTTTTTGGTTGAAGTTTTGATCCATCAAGTGAAAATGGGGAAGTTTTGATTGATCCTCCATCTCGGGATTTTTAGAAATCGATAGTTCTTTAACAAACCCAGAAAATCGCCTCCTCCATTTTTCAAAAATCGATAGTTCTTGAACAAACTCAACATATGTTTCAGATCTAAATATAAGCTGTAACATCCTAAAAATTAGGTATATCTCTTTAATCCTTCTTTTTTTCCAAGTTGACAAAAGTAGCCCAAAATAGAAAATGGTGACAAGTAGGTACGTTGGGCGTACTAAAGGGTACACTACGCGTACCCATGGGCATGCCTTTGACACGGACTCAACCTATTATGTGGGGCTTACCAAAGTGTACGCAGGGTATACTCGGTCCAGACTCAAAACTGTAACACTCGTAGATCCGGGCTAGTCAATTTAGAGATAATAGGGATCGAAAACGACTTTTCGATAAAATATTATTTAGAATAAATAATTTTAACCAAGTTGTAGAATTTGTCTCAAGGGTTCCGTACATATCAAGAACGCCGAAATCCGAGTTATAACGAAGAAGTTATGGCCCGTCGAAGTTTTACGGCAAAACCGGCACGGCACCGGGAGACGTAAATGGTGAATTTTTGATAAAGGAATTTTTATCCTTATTGATCTATAAAAAATTTGTAGTATACGTTAAACCGAGAACATACAAAAAAAAAGAACACCCAAATCTGACTTCGTATGAGGAAGTTATGAATTTTCTAAGATTTGGCACAGCAGTGCACGACCCGAAACTCGAATTCTAGTTCGAGCGGTTTTTGGCCTACGCGACCTAAATAAGAGTTGTAGATATCATTAATAGGAACTCAACGTTAAAAAGACAGACGAAAACGGAGTCCGTATGTATAAGTTATGAATTTTACGCGGGCATTTAACAGTATAATCTCCTCCTACTGTTATATTTAAGATCGGTCGAGAATTAGCTGACGGAGTCTAAATGAAAGTTGTAGATATTGTTTTTACCTATGTGTGGATATAAATAACGTTAAAAACGGAGCTCTTATGTGAAAGTTGTGAATTTTTGAAAATCGGTTGATTTCCACCATATATGCGATGCCACGTGTCAGCACCTGGCTCAGACTTGGAGCCCAAGCTCACTCACGATGTGAACATCAACAAATTCATGACGTGAACCTTCCTCCAGCACCCTATAAATAAGAGGTGAAGCCCTCTTCATTCCTCACACCTCTCATCACTTCCCTCTCTCTCTCTAGAACTTCTCTCTAGCCCCGAAACCCCTCGAAAAGCCTAGGGAACCTCCCTAGCACGAGGCGGAAGCCCCGGAGTGCCCGAAGGCCCCGAGAAAAAGAGTCTTTTGGCTCGGGAACACTGCTCGAGCGGATCCCGGTTTTGAGAAAAACCTGTTGTAAGTGAGCTACGCTTACCTTATCGTTAGTATATCTTATGTTTCAATATAGTAATGATATTAGGACCTTATGATAAGTATTTGAGCTATTATTATGAGTTATATAAGTGTCATTATAATATCTTTTTAACCACTCGCGGTACGGGGAATCTGGTTTAAAGGGTCGCATAGGGTTGTTGGATTTCAGAAGTGTAATATGCTAAAATGGTCCTGCCCTCCAGTGTTTTATGTCTGGCCCCTATCTGTACATAATGGGTGAATGATATTGTTTAACGCTTATATAATAGTAATAATAGTTAGACTATTAATTATTCATGGAGAATATTAGACTAAACTCTAGTGGTAATGATATTACGTTCTGTCAAAGGAGTTGTTTAAAGTAAACGAAGTGTTGTCCGAGTACCGAGTCACCACATTATCAGCTGAGTGCATAGTTACTTTCATCTTACACATAGATATGAAGTATTTTATATAAACTATGTGCTAAGTGTGAATATTACTTGAATACTTGCTATTTATGTTGGATGAACGATTTTATATATGTTTTAAACGATTTAAACTGTATACGTATTTTATATCTACAAAATGTGTTGAGTAGAACATGGGTAGATTAAAGATGAGATATGATGAGCGATGAGAGATGATATGAATGATGAGCGATGATATATAAGTGGTAAAATATGGTGAGAAGTGATGACCTAAGCGATGAGCCAAAGTGATGAGCCAAACGATGACCTAAGCGATGACCCACGCGATGGCCCCGTCATCTAGCAGAGTATGGATGACCACCAAGGACTATTCTAGACAGTCCAGTGAAACACTAGCAGGCTCGCAACCTGTAGGTGTTGTGAACGATGTGTTCACCAGTGTACTCTAAAAAACCCATTGACATGTATTGCGAGTGGATTCTCGGAAACAATATTGTCGATAAACGAGATAACCCTGGCAACTATGGATTTAGTGCCTGTTGAGCAAACCCTGGCAATGATGGATTTTGTGTCTATTCCTTAGGATAATCCTTAGGAAATAATGAACGAGGAATAGCTAATTCTTAGGATAAATCCTTAAAAGTAAAGAAGATAATGGGGATGGGTAATTGGGTTAATTGTTTGATGATTAAACATAATAATTATATTATTGTGGGTTGAAAACCCTATGTACTCACCAGGTTTCCCAACTTGACCCACTCAGTTTATTTATATCACATGTTTTGATATGAAGTCACATTAAACTGAGACATTAAGGAGATATAAATCACTAGTGATAATGAATGTAAGTTTTGTTTATGCTTATGTTTATGTATTGACGATGACATCCGAAATGTTTTAAAATGAATAAAAATACTTTTCTTCAAAAATGCCTTGATAACGTATTTATCATGTTTTACTGGGAACAAATTATGCAACATTTTTATTAAAAGAGGTACTCTGGTTTTTATAAAGCATAAACAAAATC